ATCGAATGCTGGATGAGTATTCCACTCTGTCCAGACTGATCAAACAAGTGGTTTGTCGGGAAGAAAAGGCCTGTCTGGAGCAATCCTGCTGTTGCTCCAGCCAGGCCAGATCACGATGGCCAAACACAGCTGGGCAGGCTGCAAAACGGGAAGCCCTAAAGGGAACGCAATGCTGAACGTTAGGTCCTGCAACCTGCATGATGGGCTGAGTTAAACGCATTTGAAGGTGGAAAACAAAAGGCACTGCTCAGAGCTGATCCAAGGAGCCTGGATAAACACGCTCCGGAAACGATGGCAACAAGCAATTAGCCTGAATGCTGCAGGCACCCCGAGGTGGAAAGAAATTAAACAGGTGTTTGTATGTACAGAACCAAGCCTGCTCACTTTACCAGGAAGGATTTCAGGAGTCAGCTGTTCTCCTTTCAGTAATAAAAGAGCCTGGCAACAGTCTGCAGCAGGATTTGCATATGCACAAACATCAGCCCTGGGACATCTCCAGGACCCGTCCTGCTTTCAGTCCCCTACTTGGAGAGGCAGGAGTGTGGGGACAAAGGGACATCCCCGGCATGTGCTTCGGAAACTCCCCGTATGTCTAAAAAAAGTGACCTGCTCAGCTCCGGCAACCTGCCCCGAATGCCGGAGCGAAGACTCAGCGGAGCTGGGAACACCAAGGGGGACTCCCGGGGTTGTCACAGGACATGGAGCAAGGCCAGGTTTAAATTAAGCTGCTCCCCGAGGATGCACAGCGCCTGGCCGGGGTGTGCGGTCCTGCCCATGGCTGGGGTGAGTTGGCAGGACGGCCACGCTCCCGAACCGCTGCTGAGGGACTAATCCCACCCAGAAGAGTGGAGTTTTCTTCGCAGCACAGCTGCCGTCCCCCTCTCCCCACTTTGGCCAGATGTAATACACCAAAGAGCAATTCCAGTGCAGCAGATGGAGGCACGGTAAAAGCAGTAACTTTCAGTTAATGTCTACTTCAGGCAAAAGGAAGGGGGAAAAGTGCTTAAATTTAAAGGGATCAAATGCTTTGTCAGGGGTTGAGAAAATATTTTAGAATGAAGGAACAACTCCATGACTACATACTCATTTGTGCTCTGCACTTGAACTGCGTTTAACATTCCTGGCTAATGAATTCTCTACCATCTGAATCAAAGCCCCTAAGCAAGGCTCAAGGGCTGGGAAAGGGGCTCCGCAGCATCTCCAAGTCCTCACTCTCACGTTACAGCCAGGGCTTCCGAGCTCAGCTCTGCTCCAACTCAAGCAGTGCCAGTTTTCCATAAAACTCCATACCCAAATCTGCACAGGCTGTAGCGGTCTAAATCCCCCCAATGTCAAATTGCTTTAAAATAGCCTCTAATTTGATACTCAAAATACAGGTGACTTCACCCAAGATGTAGCAAAGAGCCAAACATTTCCAAGCGTATCTAAAACCAGACGCTGTAGAGAAATGTTTTGTATTCCTGTGACTCCTAGAGACATCACCAGCAGGAGAATGGAGGTCTCTCAACTTTGGGGTGAATTTTGACCCAGACCCAACCACTGTGGCCACCGGCTGCATTTTTACTCCCTGCCCGGACTCACCTTGGCTGTGACCGGAGCTCTGCGTAAGCGCGTTGGTGATGTTGGGAAGCTCATTACCGTAATTGCCATCTTCCAGGGGACAGACGTCCATCTCGCCCCACTTGCGCAGCTGCCGGAGCCAGCAGGATTTCTCTTCCAGCTTGCAGTGTGGGTTTAACACCACGCACACCCACAGTGCCCCTAAACAAAGCCATGAAATCAAGGAGGTGCCACCACCATACCCATGGGGCAAAGCTCTTCTGCTGCCACGCTCGTCATGAGAGCCTGCAAGGTTTCATCGGTGTTCGTAAACTCATTTCAGCATAATGCATGGACCCAGGAGGGGGATTTAGACAGCTTTTATTTAAAGTAAAACTCCTCTGTAATGAAGCTAAATTATAATCTCTTGAGATGGGGGACAGTGGGGAGGAGGGAAGGAGAGAGCGGCTGTGTATGAATTTGTGAATGCTTCTCTCTGCCAGGACAAATCTAGTGTTTGAACTACACATCAAAAGCATGCTTAAAAACACCCTGGCAAGCTGCAGAGTCTGTATCTCCAAAGACTAACCTGATTTTGATCCTACCCACGTTCCAAGTGCTTTAAAGCCCGCTCCAAATGCTATTTCATCTGCCATTGTTCTTCAGGCCATTTGCATTCAACTATTTAAAAAGGAGATTTGGTGTATTTTCTTCCTTTTTTTTTTCTTTTCTTTTTCTTTTTTTAATCCCCAGTAGCTCCCAGCCTGCAGAGAAACCAGCAGAGGAACCTGGAGCTTGGCTTGATGTCTCACAGGCAAGAGCCCTCCAAGGTGTGAGCAGCAAGCAGAGGTGCCCATCAGTAGGACGCCCGTGCTGACACCCTCCAGGTCAACCATGGGACCTCACAGGCCTGACGATGCTGTCTGCTGTGTGAGAGGGAAAACCAGGCCTAAGGACAGCTGTTGTCATTAAGATCCAACTCATCCTTTCATAAGACAGGGCTGATACTGGTGCTGCTAACCGAGCCTTGCCAACTCTCCTGGGTCACCCACTGCTCCGAAAAGGGCTTCAGCAACCCAAGTTAAGTGCAAAACCATGAATTCTCCTTTAGCTAATTGCATTTCTGCCCACATTTCCCTGTAAAGCTACCAGGATACAGTACATCCCCTCCCTTGCGCCTGCCCCGTGGGGTGGGATGGCTGCGCGCTGGCACAGCTGCAGTGCGCAGTGTCCCCAGGACCCCCCCGGGCTGGGCAGCCTGTGCTGCTCCACTCTCTGCTTATGTCGGATTCTGTCACAGCCCTGGGAAAGCTCAGCCTCCCGCAGGAACGCCCTGCCCTGCCTCTCTTCCATGGGCCCAGTGGAGAACTGGAGCACCTTCCTTCTCCCCACCCAGCCAGCTGCTCTCCCCCATCTCTCCATCACTCCCAGAGCCAAAGTTCCCATCCCAAAGTGACAGCCGGCAGCAGGACATTACCCGACACGGCTCCGCTGTGCGGTGAGGGGATCTCTCCACATGCCCAAACCACCTCCCTCGCTCGCTGTGTTTTGTGCGGCACCTCCCCAGCAGCACGGCCAAACAGCCCTGAGCAAGGCAGCGGCTCCGACACAGGCAGCCGGGGCAGGAGGGCCTTTTTTCAGGTAATACAAG